CAGCTTGACCCCGCCATCCATCCCACTTGGAAGGCGCGCCCGCCGCAGCAACAAACACACGCCATCGCACCTTCCCTGTGCTCTCCGCAACATCTGCTTCTGTGAAGACACGTCCTTCACAACCTTGGAACGCCGACGGAAGAAGCCACGGGCTACGGTACGTCGCCACGTTCCCTCCCGCTCCCACGTTGAGATCGCGCATCTGGGACTGACTTGGCGGTACAACAGACCCTGCCCCCACCTTATCCGTCTCCTTTCTGTCACCGCCTCATTCCCTCTCCACCTTGCGCGGGCATCACCCCAGCATCCTCGAGAAGCTCCGAAGCGCAGCCGCTCCAGCTCCAATCGGTTGGTCGACGACATCTCTCGGTAGCCAGCGTCATTAAACGGCTAAAGACGAGCGCCTCCATCAGGCACGACCAAGTACACGCCTCGCTGAACCAGGCCCTGCACAGGTCTCGACTGTCCAACAATCACTTCTGTGGTAAGTCAAACGATACGAGCGGATGCATAGGCGGGGGCGCATAGCACATGTCGTTCTTTGTATTCTGACGTGCGCGTTGCCGCCATGAACACCTTTTGCGGCTCAAAGGGCACAGCACGTGGGGCTGGTTCAGTGTCTGACACAGTGCCGTTTCACCAGCGCGCGCAAGACACGCCTGCTGTTCTGCGAACAATGCTTGCCATATAGCCTTCTAGGACCCAAAGCTGACCAGCGCATTTGTAGATTCTACTTGAACCACCGCAGACGCATCCTCATTTCGCCTCTTCAGCTCTTCACCTGCCGACTATCCAGCAATCGCGACCCCGCAATCACTGAGCCCAGCTCAATTGACCCAATTCACTGCGCATCAGCGCGTCCCAACCACAACAACCGCCAACATGCCTCCAGCGGGGAGTGGCAGCTCTAGAAAGATCTCTTTCAATGTCTCAGAGCAGTACGATATCCAAGATGTCGTCGGAGAGGGCGCATACGGTGTTGTTTGGTAGGCTTCACCTGTCAGTACCAGCCAGTCTGCTGCTAACCACGCGACAGCTCCGCATTACACAAGCCGTCAGGCCAGAAGGTCGCCATCAAGAAGATCACGCCCTTTGACCACTCCATGTTCTGTCTGAGAACACTGCGAGAGATGAAGCTACTCCGCTACTTCAACCACGAGAACATCATCTCCATTCTCGACATCCAGAAGCCTCGGAACTACGAGACCTTCACCGAAGTGTACCTGATCCAGGTTTGTAACTCTAACATTCAGTGATATGCGTAGTTACTAATCCTACCAGGAACTCATGGAGACCGACATGCACCGCGTCATTCGCACCCAGGAGCTTTCGGACGACCATTGCCAGTACTTCATCTACCAGACCCTGCGCGCGCTAAAGGCCATGCACTCCGCGAACGTTCTGCACCGCGATCTCAAGCCTTCCAACTTGCTCCTCAACGCCAACTGCGATCTCAAGGTCTGCGATTTCGGTCTGGCTCGATCAGCCGCCTCGACCGAAGACAACTCGGGTTTCATGACGGAATACGTTGCAACGCGATGGTACCGTGCGCCCGAGATTATGCTTACCTTCAAGGAGTACACAAAGGCCATCGATGTATGGAGTGTAGGATGCATTCTAGCAGAGATGCTTAGCGGAAAGCCTCTGTTCCCAGGAAAGGACTGTAAGTGTTGTGCCAGTACTGTTGTCGGAACTGTTACTAACAATCATCAGACCACCACCAGCTTACGTTGATTCTCGATGTGCTCGGCACACCCACCATGGAAGACTACTACGGTATCAAGTCCCGCCGAGCTCGCGAATACATCCGATCGCTGCCCTTCAAGAAGAAGATCCCGTGGAAGGCCATGTTCCCCAAGACCAACGACCTGGCGCTTGACCTACTTGAGCGGTTACTCGCTTTCAACCCGGTCAAGCGTATTACGGTCGAGGATGCGCTCAAGCACCCGTACCTTGAACCGTACCACGACCCAGATGACGAGCCGACCGCCGACCCAATTCCAGAGGAGTTCTTCGACTTTGACAAGAACAAGGACAACCTGACAAAGGAGCAGCTGAAGCGTAAGTCAAAGATTATACGTGTGCCCTGAACCTCTGCTAACTTCCAATAGTCCTCATCTACCAGGAGATTATGCGATAAACTTGTCCACGTTTCCCCCCTCAAATGCGAGATATACACAAGATACCACGATCGAGTCGATTTCCGCAACTTGTCCACAGCTAGCTGGTCTGAGCTCACTACCATATTCGAGGAAGGGTCTACAATCATCCTGTAATTTGGATTCGCAGCGAGACATGATGTTAGCCAAGTGACGGTAGGAAAGCATACGAGGAGATGTCGCTTCGAATTCGCGCTCTCTCAAGAAAGAAAGAATCTCCTATAGCCACAGTTCGTAAGATAGGAAAAGGCAGAAATGAATTGCTTATTTGCAATTGCAGATGTTGACTTTGCATGTGCCCATGAATGTGAGTGCTTTGTTTGGGAAAGTATGCTACATCTTCAACGCCCAATCCATACGCTGAATCCTCTCTTCCTCTTTCGTACCTCTCCTACTACGCTGTTGTCCATCCCAGATCACGCCTTGAAAGTTCATCTCACCTCCCGCCTGTACCTGCGTATCCGTGGGCCTCGTCCAATCATAGATAACCGACTCACATCTACTCCCCTTCCAAGACGCATGCGCACTTGCTGTACTACTTCCACTCATTCCCCGCGACTCATCTAGATGACTCCTGCCCTCCGGCTCCGTCACCGCTTCCAACACAGACGACCGCCGCGTTGGACTCGTTGTTGAGCCGCGTCGAGCAACTTCGTTCCACCACCGCTTATCATATGCATCATATGAGAGCGAGGAACTGCGCCGACGTGCTGGAACGGGGTAGATGGGGTTGTGCAGTGGAAGTGGATCGAAAGAGCCTCTGAGAGATTGCCGCCGGGAGTGTGTGCGTGAAGGACGCTCTGTCGACGTCAACGGAAGCGTATTCTCGTGTATAGCGAAGGCATTGGGGCCTAGTGTTGTAGACCGCGAGTCGTGCGCCCGCCACTGAGCTAGTCCGGGCCATTTCCTCTTCTCAACATCTCCGCTATTGTATAGAGAGGTTGGCGTCGTGGCACTGGTCGATGAAGATGAAGACCCAGCAACAGAATCCTTCCTCGCCACCACGGATTTCAGCTTCAACAAACTCGCCGCTCTGCTCCTCCTCGTATCTTGGCTACCATGCCCACATGAACTACACTGCCGGCTCCACGCCACTCTTCCCGTTACTGGGTTGACCTCAAAGTTTCCACTGCCCAATTGCGTTTGTGACTGGCGCTCTAGATCGGCTTGTCGTTTATGTGCGAAGTGCAGGCGGATGTACCATCCTATAGCCACGAGAATGAGGAAGAGGAGTATGGAGAGGGCGATGGCGGAGTTACGGTCGATGTTTGTGGAGGAGTTGGCGGGAGAAGATGCGGAGTCGGATTTGTGTTTACTTGCTATTGCACCACCGGCCATGGCGGCGACCGACATGCTGAGGTTGTTGACTGGTTTTGCTGGGGTTGAGGGCTGGTGGAGGCATTTGTGAAGATGTGTACGGGACTTCGACGGAAGCGGTTGTGTGTATGAGATGCGAATGGTCGCGTGTGCTGTGCTGTATTACATGTTGTGATTTCATAGTCTGATTTTGTACCAGAGTGTCGTTATCTAAGTACGCTTGGTGCGGTCGAGACCGAATGGACTGGTAGCGGACCAGTGTTGGAGATGAGGGGCAGTAAGCGTCGCGTTGGAAGCCGAGTATAGAGCCATGTCGTATCCATTCTTCTAATCTCTAGATCTTGCTTGTAGTGTGGAGTTGTTGTGCCCTTGAACGCCGCCCAATGCCCGTGTTTAATTCGTATCCGTACAGAGTGGTGTCCTTCGCTATGCAACAGATCGCCTACCCAGTATCTTCATATACACATAATCATACACCATATTCCTCAACCTCCCTTATCTCCTGACGCTAGAAATCACATCTCCCATCCTTCCACCCCGTCCTCCACCTCTCCTCCCACTTCTTACAATCAAACTGCTCCTTCCCCAGCTTCTCATTCACAGCATTATGCGCCTCGCACATCCACTCTCCAAACTCGCTCCTCGAGCTGACTCTCGGTGTGTTCTTCTGCATCCACTTCTGGAAATCTTCGGCGCACACCCAGCATGGGTACAACTTGCCAAACGTGGTGAGGAAGGATTTGGTTTCGGATTGGAGTTGGGGAGAGGGATTCGTGGGGTATGCGCCGGTTATGGAGTGGAGGAGGGTCCACGAGGAGCGGCCGAGGGCTTCGACGTCGGGTGGGCAGTCGGCGGGGAGGGAGAGTGTGGTCGTGGGAGGAGCGGCGGCCGGTGTGCGCTTTTTAGGCATTTTGCCTGACATGGCCATGAGGGAGGTTAGGTCGTTGCAGGCTCGGCATCTATAGTAGGGGCCCCAGTATTAGCATGCGTCCCGTTCGTAGAGTTGATTCTCGTCCAGCGCGTATGTCTTCCGGCGCATTCGAGAGTTGACGGTACTTACGGCTTGCCATCTGGACCGAGTATAATGCCATTCGCCAGCTTCTTGTACCCAGGCCTTCCCGCGATATCCTGGCCTTCATCTTTCTCATTCGGTTCCTGCGCCATCTTCTGCTGTCTGGAAGCTCAGTGGTGGTTGTGATATGTCGCGGCGAGCAACTGGTGATTTCTAAGCTCTTCCATGATCGGACCTCGGCGGTATGCACGCGTTCCAGGGTCAACCATGTCGTGCGTCATCGCGCCTTCGCCGTTGACGGCGGTACATCTGCGGGTTATGCGTCGGCATCGGAGTTCGTAATTCTCGTGCATCCGTGACTTCGTAGCGCGATTGCAGACATGTTGTTGCTTTCGAATTGCTCTTGGCGCGTAGATAAGATGGAGGTTGTGGACGCGCAGTGGAGCGTGCAGGAGATTCGCATTTGAACATCACAAACGCATCCTCCACATCCCGGCTATCACCGTCTGATTATGGATGTACCGGTGGCTGCGAATGTACTAGGAACGCTGGGAGCAGTACGTATTCTTCATGATCGCGAACTCAACCGTGCTGACCAGAAAAGGTGTGTTGGTCCATTCAGGTACCCAAGTCTCCCACCACTGTCGTTGGGGAGCTCAGCTAAGAGCGTGGTCTAGCTCATCCCACAAATCGTTATCAACTATCGAAGGCATAATGCTACTGGACTCCAGCCGACCATGATGATGCTGTGGGCGTGGGCTGGGGTTCCCCTTGGCGTTTACAACATTGCTGAAGATTACAACATTGCTCTTCGCATACAGCCTCAGATTCTTACCGTACTGAGCCTGGTGACGTGGATTCAGTGTTACTACTATGAGAAGGTAAGTGGTACCATCAACAGCTCGAGTATGAGTACGGCGCCTAACACCCCAAAGAGTTGGTCCGTTCTCCGCTCGCTCGCAGTTGTCGTCCCTGTAGCGTGCCTCATGGGCGGCATTCAAGCTGGTCTCATCTTCGCCATTCAACATGCCAAGTCAGAAGGACTGCATTGGCCCAGTATCCTCATGGCTGTTGCTTCGGCCGCTCTGCTTGCTGCTGGTGTCCTGAGACATTATGTGGATGTCTACGTTCACCGGACCGTTCGTGGCATATCCTTCATCTTTGTCGGTATTGATGCCCTGGGAGATCTCTTCTCCTTGGTGTCAGTCGTCTTCCAGCCCAAACTTGACGTCCTGGGTCTGGTCATCTATGGCACCGAGCTGGTGTTGTGGATCGGCATCTTCCTGTGCGGAGCGTATTACAATCTCCCGTCGTGGTACGCTTCCAAGAAGGAGACGAAGAGGAACAACGAGGGCTTGGGTGAGCCGAACAGTGGGCCGGCGGACACGTCTGGCGTCGCACTTCACGATCTGCCCTCCAGCACTTCCGTGTTCAGGACGCCATCGGGCGAAATTGAAGCGATTCGACAGCGCAGTATGGGCTCAATACGTGCTGCTGGTCTGGAACATCTACCGCGGAGGGTGTAGGTGAAGCGCAAATGCAGGCATCTTTCAGTACATTACTTTGAATTGCGCATTTCTCCCCACAAACTGTTTGCAACTCCAGCATCTCTTAATGTCCATACAAAGGTCTAGGTCCTGCGGCTACCTCCGGTGCTGTGTTTGCCCGTGACGCGTTCGTTGCTTCCACGCTCTCGAACTTGGGCAGGCGCACGCACCTTCTCCACAATCACCATCCGCACTCCCCACGCTCAGACCGGACAACTACCAGCGACCACATTCACGGTCGACCTCCTGCGTCACAGAAAATCAACTGCGTCACTATAATAACCCGGCGCCAGTAGCTGATACAAGTAAGCTAACCTGCACTTCCGCCGACTCCATCACCGTCCGCAACCAGAAGTCTGCTTCACCTGGCTCGGCCTATCACAGCGCTGGAATATCTCAGCAACACTAACGACTTCATATAGTCAGGAATACTCGCAAGTCAGCCCTCAACTCCAACAGCATCATGACTTCCACCACTACGACCAAAGTCACTTCGCTGGACTCTCAGTCCGATGGCCCGTCGGTTCCGAACCCTACACCAGCCACAGAGTCCGTAGGCAGTCCCTACGAGCCCGTTGATCCTCCCCCGGAGATGGACTATACTGCCGTCGCCAGGATTCTGGGCCCTATCCAAGAGTCGCTCAACGAGGCCGCCCTGGAGGCCGCCTACCCATCGCCACCCATCAACACACCCATCTTCGGTTCTCCCGCTCCGTCCGTTTCATATCGCTTCCCTGTGACCCGCGGTCGCGGCTTCAGTGTGGTTGGCGATAGACTCGCGCAGCTGAAGATCAATGACCGCAAGCTCCGTCACCGCGAGGGAGATGTGGGCTCCAGCAACTACTCACCAGAGGCATCCATCAACGAGGACGAAGAAGTCGATATTGCGAGCATATCCGAGGTGTTGAGCGACAGCGGCAGGGACAAGCAAGACCCAGGACAAGCTCGTAAGACCCTTGACCCCATCGATGTGACTGAGGGCTCAGTTCCTATAGCTTTAGGTTCCCCTGCCGTCAACCCGCGCATCGTAGAGTACCTGACGTTCACTTCCGACGACTTGCCTACAAACTCGGTTGCACCTTGCTTCCCCTCTACGCTCATGAAGACGAGCACCGCGTCGATCAAGACCATCGTTGGCGGCAGCGACGGCGCTAGCTTGAAGAGCGATGGCGTCACTGAGAAGAGCAACTGGGCTGAGGAGATTGAAGACATGGTCGACCGTACATGCCTACGCCTCGAGCAGCTGGCTGACGATGAGTGGAAGCGTGATGGCAGCAAGAGCTTCGCCGACTACTACGTCGCTCGCCTTGAGCGTCTGCTCAGCAGCGCTAAGCGCACCGTACCCGTCAGCATCCAGAAGAACAAGGAGGCCCAGGAGTAAGAGGATACGAATGATGTGCCAAAAAAGCACGCATTAGTATGGAAATGGCGCAGGGAAAGGTGACGGCGTTCACGGTACGGGTAATGCTTTGATTGTCTTCACGGTTAATGGTTCAAAAGTTGGACAGGTGCTGTCATGGTGTTCTATACCCATAATGTCCCTTCTTAACGATTCACGGGTCTACGATAACAATCCCACGATGTCAGATTCAAGTAGTGGATCTGAAGTAGCAGTAATAATAATGTGTCTTTCCTACACATCTTGATTTTGTTACGCACATGCCATTACATCTATGTCAAGCGCGAGTACGACGCATTTCTCACACCCAGTCCTTGCAGGATAGCAACAACACCCAACGTAATAGCCGTAGGTCTATCGTTACTCTTCCAGTAAGCTGCACCTGCTGCCGCGAGCAGAGTTGTCAGGACACCCGCGATGCTCTTGTCGTACACATCGTAGATACCCGTAACCGACCACTTGTAGTTGAGGATGCCTATTTGCTTATTAGCCAACGAGCAGAATAGATCAGGTGTTCGATCGCAGACTTACTCATAATAACAAAGAACCCGCTACCCTCATACCAACCGATCTTACTCGCGCCGCGGAGCATGAGCGGCAGCGTGTTCATCGTCGGATGTTTGAATTGGTCCAGGCCTTTCAACTACAACACCTTATCAGCAAACTGCCACATCTATCAAACTAAATGCTCTATTACCGTATGCCCAATCGCCAGAATGGCGTAGGCGGCCGAGGAAGCCTGCAGGAGGGGATGCGACTGCGAGGTTATCGACGTCATGGTGGTGAATGCTGCTTTGAGAAATGTCTCACAGCTGGTGCTGGGGTTTGAGAGAGATTACGAATTGGAAAACGGAGGAGAAGAGGAAGGTTCTATGGCGTTTGCAGAGACGCGCATGTCACGATCGCGTCGTTGTGATGCTTTTGGCTGGGACCGAGGTTGGTGTGGATTGGGAACGGTTTCCCCACTTTTTGTGGGTCCGCCGCGAGGTTGGTGTGCTCAGGTCGCGATGGACGCGATTTTCGCGAAAACGCGGACTGCCACTGCCCGTATTGCCAGGTTCGACGGTTAGGCCGCTGGTCATGAGAGCGCATCTGATTTGATACTGATAGGCATTATGTTTGGCAATGCGACAACGAATTGGACGCATAGTCCCTTTCGCCTTACCTATGATGCAGGATTACCATTCTAGACGAGATTCACTTCGTGGTGTGCGGAATACCTAGGTATACTTCATGATTGGACTATAGTGCAAGCTAGAGTTCATCACTACATATGATAGTTGCGCTGACTAGGTCTAGGCTTGTGACTGTGGTGTTTGTGCTGCCATTCCCACCAGCTGCCTTAAGCATTGTTGCGGCTATGTGATCATGTCGCTGACCAGAGTGAAGTGGTTTCAGGACATAGCAACGACTAGGCAGGGAGGTATTGGTTTGCATTGCGTCTTATTCGCTGGTCATCTGTGATGGGAAGGTGTGCACTGCCCCGCAACTTCAGCTACCATAAGCCCGCCCACGACATCATCCATATCTTCGTGCAGCTGTGCTTAACCAGCGGCAAACTCTCACATTCCCCAACCTACAGTTCATGTCTTGGTTCCATCACTCACCAAGTTCCTTTGTCTGTCCCGGATCAAAACTATCGGCTCACCCGCATGATCGCTGTACCCCAATGAAGTGTGGGGTCACCAGTCTCTATCCACTTCAAGCATGTCTGAGTACTATTCAACCGATTTCGAATACCCGGTTTCGACTCATGCAGTTCCAAGGATCGAGGACCCTTTGCCTTCGGAAGTAGTGCCGGGTGGCATGAGGACCAGGCGTTGGAAATGGGTCGATCCTCCTGGTGGCGATCAGACTCAACCAGCCTGCTTCGGAGGTGGTCAACTTCTGATACCAGATCGCCCAGAGAACGAGAGACTTTGTTCCACTTGTATGAGTCTCGGTCGCTCAAACAATACGCACTGGGAAGGAATCGACAACTTCTGCAAGGTCATTGTGGATCATCACCACTCGTTTGATGCGTTACTCAAGAGTGCACGCGAGGGTTGCCATCTTTGTGTATTGTTGTTGATAGCATGGGAAGAAGATTCTCGTTTGGATCAAGATCCTGGGGGTGGATGGGTTTGTAAAGCGGGTTACGATGCCGCTTCCTTAAATGGCGGGATCAGACTCAAATTCGAAAGGGTGAGAACGACAATCGAGGAGACTGGTGTTATCCTTGATGAGGTTCTGAGTACCATACTATGCGGAGACTTGCTGCCTTGTATGGGTGGAAGATTGATTTGTAAAGCTATGGAGAGTGAGTGTGCTTCATTCTTACAACTTCACAGTCCTTCACGATTGATCAATGGAACAGCTGATACTCTCGCCCTTCCGGACGCGTGTCTCCCATCAGGAATCGACACTACTACGGGCTCATCGGCAAGTCTGTCCAGAATTAAGGCCTGGTTGAAAATCTGTAGATCTTCGCATCCAGCATGTTCCCAGACCAATTCTCCACCTCCACCCCTACCAACAAGGGTGATCGCAGTAGGGAAGAAGGAATCTAGAAAATGCTACCTACTGTCTGGAAAGGAAAGGAGTGGTTATTACGCTACTCTAAGCCACTGCTGGGGAAATACCCACAATCGACCGTTGTTGACGACTGATCGGACCCTTCTTTGTCGGCAGCGAGGTATTGAAGACGAGGCATTGCCAAAAACGTTCCGGGACGCCGTTCAAGTCTGTAGGGAGTTAGACATAGAATACATTTGGATCGACTCTCTGTGTATCATCCAGGAGCAAGAAACGCAAGAAGATTGGGCGAAGGAAGCACCGAGAATGGGACTTGTGTACGGCAATTCAATTTTGAACATTTCAGCGGCAGCCGCAGCAGACTCAACCGAAGGATGTTTCAGAGAGCGCCTTGGTCTAATCTTCTGGCCTTGTCCGACGGTGCTATTCGGCAAGGCATGCTCCCTACACCGGTATCCAACGGGAAGAGAAGAAGCTTTGGATGATGCCGGGGACACTGATTCTGTACGGGACAATTCAAGCTTCTTAGCCCGAAGAGCCTGGGTCCTTCAGGAGCAGGTTTTATCTCGCCGCTCCGTCATGTTTGCGAAAAAACGTCTCATCTGGCAATGCCCAAGTCTATCGACCAACGAGAAGTACCCGTTGGGAATACCAGACGCTCTGAATACATCAGATGATAACTACCGGCTTCTCCACTGCATATTGAATGGTATAACATCGTTAATGCCGAAAAGCTCAACAGTCGACATTTATGCCTGCTGGCACAGAACGGTAGTAGAATATACGGGTCGACATCTCACATACATGGAAGATAGGCTGCCTGCAATAGCTGGCATTGCGAAAAGGTTCGGAGCAGCAGTGAATGACAGCTACCACGCAGGGCTGTGGAGAAACGATATGGTCTTCGGTCTTCTATGGAACGCAGGCAATGCTAAGGGCACAACTAAAACCGCTAGGGCACCGTCGTGGTCATGGGCCTCGATCGATGGTCCCGTAAGATATACACATTTTCTGTTGCCTGGCGACGACGAGAGACGCGCTCCTTTGTCTCCACTGGTCGATGTTC